ATAGCATTTGTATTTATTTAATATATCGACATAATTATATCGATATATTATTATCATCATCATCATTATAATCATTATAGCTAATAAATGCTCGTGACTGTTCTACTGCGGATTGAAATCATGGGTGCCGGTTCTATATCTGCCAGGTAATTTTGGATAAGTGTTCAGTAAAGCCGGACCACGACGTTATCTGAGTAAACACACACGCCACGCCTTGTACCTTGCCCCCCCAGCGGGCTGCGGCCAGCACTGAATCTCGGCGGCTGTTGACGCTGTCGCGTGCACCCTAGACGTAGCAATTTTCGCGCTAGAATCGCGTTGAAAGCATGTTACGATGAGCAAGTTTGCGTCGCTTCAAACGTCATGATAGATTCCCCTCATACTCGTGATTGATTTGCTCGATTGGATCACATTCGCGTTTAAGGTGTGTTGAGTGTGAAAAGTTGATCACGCGCGCTAACCTGCGGTAGGCCTATATGCTTGATCTCGTAAACTACAGATGTTATTCGAGTAATTGCATGCTAAATGTATAGTGACTATACGCTCTTTGCCAATATTTCATTTTACAGTGAAATGGTGCGTAACTAAAAAATTGGACATGGAGAGGTGCATGGAGATGAAGTTATTCGCCGAGGAGAAGAATATCATGCTAAACATCGATTGTGTTGAGGTAGAAATATCTATGAGACCGCTTACGTTTTATTAAAGTAAAACCTGCGATATTTCCACACGTCAGTAACGTTTCAGTTCAGCAAAACTCTTGAAAATATCATCTCTTGACGCAGAATATATACATAATTCTCACTTCGTGCACAAATGGTTTACACTCGTGATTTTTCATGCGTCAAATACGTCATTTCGTCCGCAAGCGAGATTATCTATATATATAAAGTTATTCAGCCGAATTAGTTCGTACTCGCATAACTAGAGAACTCCGCAGCCTAGACAAAAAAAACATTTTCAAAATTAGCATGTCTGGGAGGTGGTTCTGGCTGAAACAAAAATTTAACAAAGTTACAAAGTTAACTTATTTTCCCCGTTTTTGCCTTTTTTCCCCTTTTACCTACCTCTTTAGTAAGTATTATTTTTAATTTTTTATTGCCTCCGATATCCATTTCGAGGCCCGCTAAGCCGAGCATAAAGCGCGCGGGCAAGACGTCACATACACACAGCTACGTTCATTGGCTAAAACAATCGAGTTGCGCGGTTAGGGATTTCAGGAATTGTTTAATTTTAAGGAAAACTTTAATGTTCAATGAATGACGCACTGGTTCACTTCCGAAATCGGGTAAAAATGCCGAATTTTTCCACTTCGGTGCAAAATGCATCGGCCGGGCATTTCATTATTTACCAAAAGCAAACAGTCTCGCCAAACACCTACACGCAGTAACGGGTCACGTCGTTGACGCCCCATTCATGCCCATCAACGAAGAAAGCGTGGCTTATTCTGATTACGGAAATGCGAAAATGCAACAGAAAGACGTAGCGCAGTGCGCTAAACAGCGTGTTATTTTCGTATTTGTGCCAAACTCTATCGTTCTAGCCTAGCAGAATGCCCTAGCTCCTGAGATCGGCAATTTAGTGGTCCGATGAGTCCCCATATTTAAAAATATAAAACCTTGGTGCGGCGTAGGCTGTGATTGGAAGACACAAAGTGTCAATCCTCGGCGCGCCTCGGCATCATGGCCACATCACGTCGAGTATGAGATATACGCGGATATATGCAGCGGATCGCTAATTGAGCCGCTCGAGCGACATTTTACTGGGGCTCGTTGTCAGTCTAAACATCTTATGCGGATGTCTATCATAAATCCAAACTGTTATGACTTTTGTACGACACTTCCCTTTAAAACCCTTGACTATTTCTGATGTATCTGACAACGTACTCTCTCCCTGCCGAACAGCGCAGGCTGGACGCGGTCGGCTGTACGCGGGACAGCTAGCGGAGGCAGTTCCCGAACACGATCTAAGCGACGTCTGTCACGGTTTTCATTACAGGGAACGAATCCGCCGTTCGTCACCGCCCTGCTGGCATCAAACGACAATGACAATCCCACCGATTCGACCGGGAACCGACTGCCGGAGAGGCTCAGCAACGTCGTCCGAGAGGCGACCCGCGACGATTTTCTCATCCTGATCAGCGACTACCTCTCCGAGCCGTTCATCGATGCCAACGAGAAGGATTACTGCCCGAAGTCCAACAACGAGAAGGAGATCAGCATATGCACGACGGCGTCGAAGCAGGATAAGCAGCAGTGCGAATACCTGCGCGACGCGCTCGCCGTGCAGTACGTCATGCCGAGCATCAAGTGCGTCGTCAACAGCGACTTCAAGTCTTGCCTGAGCCGCGTCGGCTTGGAGGGAGGTACCGACTACGCCATCATGGACGCCGGATGGGCGTATCAGGGCGGCAAGTGGCAGCACACGAGACCCGTCATGAAGGAGATGTACGGCGGCCAGGACCAGTTCAAGTCCGTTTTGGTCGTCAAGTCGACCAGATCGGGCAATTTCAACATTGACGGCTTAAAGAGTAAGTCCCTTTCATCGCGAATACTCTAGCGACGGGCGTTTTCGATGCGTCTATGCGAATTTTTTTATTGTTTTGTTTCGTTTGTTTCGTTTCAATTCGTTTGTCCATCTGCAGGCTAATGCTGTCATTCACGAATTTCTCGTCATTTCGTGACCATTCTTGATCTCGCGTTTATTGCGTAGTTGTCAGCCCGTCTCAATACTTACCCTTGCGTTGTCGCAGATAAGAGGGTCTGCGCGCCGTTCATTGGCAGTGCTGCGGGCTGGCTGCAGCCGGGAAGACTGCTGAGAAACGTGGGACACTTCAGCCTCCCTGACTGCCAGCTAGAAGAGAAGATGGCCGCCTTCTTCTCCGGCGGCTGCGTACCGGGGGCGACCAAGGAAAATCTGGTCAATTAAATGATGGAGAAGACTAAGCAGACGAGATGTGTAAGACCCGCGTGTTTGACCTACTTGTTCATAGCCTCGCAGATTAGGCCTTCCAGTGTCAATGATGTATTGCACACGGATGAATTTTGCATTTTATTTAGCTCTCGGAAGTCGACAACTGCAACTGGGGACGCTACCCGACCCATCATATCATGACGTATAAGTCACAAGAACACAAGAAGGCGATAGGAGACGCCTTAGCGGAGCTATATTTTTCCGCCAAGGTAGTAATAGTTACACAGCTTTTTATGCACACGTGGGAATGCTGCGCGCCATTCTGTAAGACATTTACTCAACATTTTGTTATATTTTGAGACGTTTCTTCCTGTTCACCTTACAAGAGGTATTCTTGTGTCGAATTGTGACACACTTGGTGTCTGCATATGCTATATACACGTATTGAATACGACTTGTTTGTGGGAATCAGGCGAGGATATGAAGAGAATCTGTCGTGTGCGGTGCGAGTGATTTTGTGATGCACGTTGTAGGTGTCAGATGAAAAAGAACAATATGGTTATTAGCCACCTCGATTCGATATGTGCAGAACTCAAGAGCATAAAATTTTCACTCGCCAAGTATATCGCTATTCGACATAATACGAGTAGCTCTGTTCATCCAGAGAGACATGATAGAAGATTGCGTGGCACAGCTTTGCTGTTGATACCGAGCACTGCGCGCGGATTAGACGCGCAGTTCCGCGGGATATGCGCACGCGACCGCGGGGATGTTTAAGCATGAAGCGCTGTCCGCAGTGGAGACGTGCGCCAAATTCGAGGCCCGGCGCACGTCTCCACAGCGGTCAGCGGATGGTCTGTAGTTTTGAAAGATAACAATGAAGACTTTGTTCTAAATACAAACTCCACGACAGATGGCGCTCTCGCTCTGGCTCAATTCTACCTCAATTATCGAGTGTGGGAAGAGGGCGCTACATGCAGTTTGTTCTAAATAAGAACTATCGGCGGCTAAATAAGAACTATCGGCGGCTAAATAAGAGCAATATACAGACCTTTGAATTTCTTGACTAGTTAGTCAAAGGGCTTTTTGGGGGTTTATTATGCAGAGCTTCCAATTGAAATGGCCGATGAAATTTTCAAGTGGAATTGTGTTTTTCGGAACTCCAAAGAAAATGTCTCCCTCTTACATGCACCCCTCCCTGATCAATCACGCATTCAGGCGTCAACAATAACAGAGATGAAATTGAATGAGATGAGAGATGAGAGTGAAACATATACGGTTAGTACTTACTGTGACATATCCGTGTATAACTGACATCACTAAATTGGTAAAATGTTCCATGCACCTTAAGAAATGCTGAGAAATTACGAGGTTATCATCGCAGAACCCCCGAACACCGTACGTCACAAAGCTATATATATATATATGTAAACAAAGACGCGTGTTGCGAGGTGCGTGCCTCCGATATCCATTTCGAGGCCCGCTAAGCCAA